ATAGATCCAAAATTACATAAAATAGAATGCAGTGTGTCTACAAGGCGAACTGTGCACTTTCGACTAACTCTTATTTACGCTTTTATGCTCCATAGGGAGTCCTTATGAATTATGAAGGCCTTTCATTTGGGAACTATGAAAAGCGGCAAAGTTCAAAACCGCTCGCCTTTTGGTATTAAGAAATTGCGATTGTGTTTGAGTTTTGTCGCAGCCTTCCCTCTCTCTCATCATATCATTACGTGCGCCAGTCCATCCATGCCATATAGCGTATGGATCGGCGCCGGTTCGTATCGGTCCTGTAGTGCTTTCAAGGTGCATATCTGCCGAAAATCAGGGTAATTCTAAGTTCGATGCGCTGCAAGAGAGTTGTAGTCTATGTGGCGACCAAAGAACGCCTTTTTGTAGTCCACATCGCTAGCAGTCCGCGGCACTAATTTCTTTCCTTCATAATTATAACGCTTTTCGATGCATGTTGTTGCGTTTACAGTTTGAACTTGTTCCCGATGATCCTATTCCACAGTGCACAGCTGTTCATCAGACTCTTGTAGAGGGAGATGCAACTCTGTCTAATGAAGAGGAAATGGCTCGATCATCAAGAACAAACCGTTTTGAAGGGGGCCACAATCCGAGACAGTACCGTAGGAGCAATACGACGTTAGCTTCTCCTTTGCTACAAAATCACTTTAGCGAAACATCTTTCTTTATTCTAGAATGAATTTGGACCGCCAACTGCGTCTGCAAAGAATCCACATGTGGAGACCAGATAAAATGTATAATTCTTCAATGAGAGGCCACTGGCACCGTCCCAGTAACGAAAATCCAAACGATCGTGGCTGGCATTGCTCCTACTACGGTCGAAGAGATCAGTGGAACAGACGCTTTCAGAATCGTCCTCGTTGGTATAATGCTAGCTATCGTGCTCATCGAGATGACCAATGCGATCGTCCGCAGAGCAGTTCCAGTGTGAGATTTACTTTACTCCAATTCGGAATTTTTTAAAGTTTAAATAAGAAAAACAAACAAAATATTAAGACGTGACTAAGATTAAGTTACAATGTAAAGGCCAAAGTCTACAAAGGAACGACTTATAAAAAATTCTAAATCAAAGTCAAGCGTTCTTACAAGGGAAGGATACTTAGTGGCCGTGGCCGTTCAGAATGGGATGTATATCAGAAGATTAGTCTTAGGACACA